CTTGCCAAAAAGTCTAGGCTGGCTAGCCAGCAGGCCCAGGATCTGCCCATCTGGGCATCACCGGCTCTGGGGTTACAACTGCTTTTTAAGTGGGTTCTGGGAATAAAGTTAGTGCATCGTGTTTGTGCAGCAAGTACTCTTCCAACTGAGCGACCTTCCTAAACCCACTCCAGAGTGTGTGTGTGTGTGTGTGTGAGAGAGAGGGGCGGGGAGGGAGGAGAGAGGAAGGAGTGTGGGAAAGTGCTCTATTGACACACAAATGGAGATCAACATTCAGGAGTTGTTTCTTCCCTTCCTCTGTGGGTTCCAGGAACTGGACTTGGGTCATCAGGCTTTTGGGGCAAGCACTTTTACACAACAAGTCATCTTAAGTCATTGCAGGGGGAAAATGCCAGCTAGATGGTGACATATGGCTGCCTCTACTCAGGAGACAAGAGGATCACTACAAGTTCAAGATCACTAGTCTACATAGTCGACACAGCAAGTACTAGAAATACATAAGGACCAGTAGTGGTTCCTACTAACTAGTTTTCTGAAAAAGTTAGTAGGGACCGCTAACATGTTACATCTCTTAAGAACTGCAGAATTAAGGTGCTATATGTAAGGCTTAAAGTTCAACTCCCAGCACCGAAGGAAAATAAAATAAATAAATGAAACTTCAGAAGCCAACCAAAAATGGCGCAGCCATTTAAAACAGAGCTCAAGGAGCTGACTCAGTCTTAGCACATAAGTACCTGCTCTTGAAGAAGACCTGGGTTTAGTTCCCAGCACCCACATGGCAGCTCACAGCAGTCTGTAACTCCAGTTCCAGGGGATCCAATGCCCGCTTCTGACCTCTGTTGGCACCAGGCACACATACATGTACTACATACATACCCAGATAAACATGCAGACAAAACAACCACACACATAAATTAATTTTTTAAGGGAGTTAATACAACTAGCCATTTAGAAACTCTGCTCTGTAACCATGAATCTTTTTACCTGGCAGTAAACCTGCAGCTCAAGATCCCTCCTGCTACAGTGACAGTTTTGTTTGTTTTTAGTTCAGCTGTTCCCTGTCCCACCACCGCCAGTCTCAGAACCCAACAAAGCAAGGGTGGGTGACACTCCCAATTACCCTCCCATGTGGTGGCACAGTGTGCAACAAAATGTAGAGGCCTTCGCACAAAGCTCCACCCCTTGCTAACAGCTCCCCGAGATCTGTTTGCCTTCCCTCTGCTGGTGACAACCTGGCAGGGTCGGTATAGCTAACTAGTGCTGACCGAGTAAATCAGTACATAAAAACAGCTGGCATCTGGTGGGGGGGTGGGGGTGAAGCAGGCTTTCATAAAGAGCCCAGGCCGACCTGGAACTCACTCCTCAGTCCAAGATGGTCTCAAACTCTTGACAATCCTCCTGTTGAGCCACCAACATACTAGGATTACAGGTGTGCCCACCACGCCTGGTCCGAGGTGCGGTTTTTGCCTGCTTTGCCGCTTTACTCACTTTAAAGAGACGTTTCAAACACACAGATTTAGATCAACAATCACCTTCAGAGTCAAAATGTAGCCAGGCCTACTGGAGCACACCTGTAATCACCACAGAAGGCTCAGTCGGGAGACAGGAGTTCAGGGCCAGCCTGGGCAACACAGTGGTTCAAAGGCCTGCCTGATACACAACCACCCTTCTACCTCCACAGAGTGAGGCTGTGAGCTGGTATAAACGAAGAGAAAAGGAATTATTGAAATAAGGGCTGTGATTCCCAATAAAAGACCCTTGTCCTGTCTGACACAAACCAGGCAATGACTTCCTGACTGAGCAAAGACCACACCACCCAATCCCTTGACCTTCCTCTTCTGGAACAACTGCAGATGAACCATTAGGGTCATGACAGCAGATCCTATTGGTCTCACACCCATAGTGGCTACTTCCTACATGTTTAAATTGAGATCTAGATACAACAACAACAAAAAAAAAATCAACAGCTTCACAATTATTTATTCAAAGGTAATCACGCTCCTTTTTTTGGGGGGCGGGGGTTTGAGACAGGGTTTCTCTGTGTAGCTTTGCGCCTTTCCTGCATCTCGCTCTGGAGCCCAGGCTGGCCTCGAACTCACAAAAATCCGTGCTGGGATTAAAGGCATGCGCCACCACCACCCGGCGTTAATCACACTCTTAATGCCCTACTAACTGCCGATTAAATGAAGAAATCTGAGCACAAGGTCGACTTGCTAGATCTACTGTATACAAAATTCTGTCCCAGCAACATGCTAAGTTCCCTGAGGGCAGGACACTGTCTACCTAACTATATGTTCATTCTCTAGGGTGTAGCATATAAAGGCTATTTAAACTAACCAAAAGATTAGTACACTGAGAGTTGGAGAGATGGCTCATTGGTTAAGAGCACTGGCTATTCTTCTAGGGGACCAGGGTTCACTTCCCAGCACCCACATGGCCGCTCACAACTGTCTGTAACTCCAGTTCCAGGACTTCTGACATCCTCACACAGACATACATGCAGGCAAAACACCAATGAATATTAAACAAAAATAAATTTTTTAAAAAAATTGTATACTCATATTCATACAGTAGCAGACGCAAATTAGGTATCCACTGAGGAAAGAATGGGCAGGTAAAATTGGTGCACTCGCACACAGACTGGAGGAAATTCTGCATACCCTACAATACTGATGTGAGCCTTCAAGACACTCCACTAAATGAAATAAGCTACTTTAGGATAGAAACAGAAAGGGAAAGGGAAATGGTGGTTGGGAGTCCAGGGAAGAAGCACCACTAAAGGAGGGAGCAGAGGTTAGTATTTCAGGGTACAATGTTTCAGTTTGGGGAGATGGAAATTTTCTGAGATGTAGTCCATGACAGCTACATAATATAAATGTACATAATGCCAGTGAACTGCAAATTCACTTCACACTGTGGGGGTAAATTCACTCCCACCACATGGGAGGGTAATTGGGAGTGTCACCCACCCTTGCTTTGTTGGGTTCTGAGATTGGCGGTGGTGGGACAGGAAACAGCTGAACTAAAAACAAACAAAACTGTCACTGTAGCAGGAGGGATCTTGAGCTGCAGGTTTACTGCCAGGTAAAAGGATTCATGGTTACAGAGCAGAGTTTCTAAATGGCTAGTTGTATTAACTCCCTTAAAAAAAAAAAAAAATTTAACATTTATGCCTTAAGTGTAAGTGGTTAAGTGTATTTTGTCACAATTTAATAATTCAAACATTTGGGGCTGGAGAGGTGGCTCAGTGGTGAAGAGCTCTTCCAGAGGACCTGGGTCCAATTCCCAGCACCCACATGGCAACTCACAACTATCTGTAACTCCAATTCCAGGGGATCTGACACCCTCAGACCAATGCACATAAAATTATTAAACAAATAAAAAAAAAAAAACCTCAAACATTTTAGCTGAGTACAGTGGCCCACATCTTTAATCCCAGCACCTGGGAGACAAGGGCAGGCAGATGGATCCCTGTGAGTTCTAGCCTGGTCTATGTAGTGAGTTCCAAGACAGCCACAGCTACATAGTGAGACTCTGTCTTTGGGGGGCGGGGTGAATTCAAACATTTTATAAAATTATTGAAGGAATGTGAAAATTATTTCTACAGAACATTTTTTGCTTGTTTGGTTTTGGTTTTTTGAGACAGGATTTCTCTGTATACCTTTGGGGTATGTCCTGAAACTCACTCTGTAGCCCAGGCTGGCCTTGAACTCACAGAGATCCACCTGCCTCTGCCTTCCCGAGTGCTGGGATTAAAGGCGTGCACCACCACCACCCGGGTAGAGAACATTTTTAAAGAACATCTCTGCATTGTACAGATGAACTCAGAGCTCAACAGATCTGCCACCTTTTATAGTATACACCATATATAAACATATACACCATATATAGTACGCACAGTACAAATTACACCATGCCACTCAGCTTTAATGGTAGTTTACCCAGCTTGCTCAAAAACCCAGGACAAAGTGGATCCTCTTTCCTTAACCAGGACCTTACACACTCAGCCCTCAAGACAGTCTAGTCTATTATGTGCATTAAAAAACTGTGCCAACGACTACATGGCCCAATACACCACTAACTTGCCAGGCAATTGGAGGGTGCTATCCCTGGAGATGCTCAAACCCAGGCGGGGCAATCAACCACTGTCATGGACTAGATGCCAAACAGAGGCAGATAAAGAATCAGACAACTAACTTCACCTTGCCTGCTGTGATGGGCAGATAAGGCTCAGAAACTTTACAATGGCAAAAGACAAGTGCTCAACAAGCTACTGTGAGTACCGAGGGGCTAAAGGGCCTGGAAGAGGGGGGGCATCTCCTTCCAAAGGCTTTTGAGCTGGATCTGAAAGGATGCATACTTTTCCAGGGAAAGGGCCAGAATATAAAGCAGAAAGAACAGCGGCCGAGAGGCCCAAAGACCCCACTGCTGACTGCCCTCATGTGTATCAGTAACCTCTGCAAGGCCCACTCTAGGTTTCTCCAAATGCAGACCTACAAATGGGCGGCATGTTCTCCAAAAATCCAGCCAGTTCCATAATAACTGACTGCTTATGTTCAAATCGTGCCACTGTCCCAAGCTTGACCTTGGGCAGAGTAATTAACTGCTCCCTGCCTCAGTCTCCCCATTTCCGGGGGAGTGGTGTAACAACTAAATATATGTCAATCACTTAGCAAAGGAAATGGCACTCAGTAAGCCATCATAAATAAATGATACTGTTAATCACGACTTGCTGTACTAGAAGCACAGCACACAGCGAGGCAGGGGGTTGTACCCACGGCGCTTCCAAGGTCCTCCCTCCTAGACTCCAAGACATCCTTTGGGTGCGGGGGGAGGGAGGGGGTGCGGGGGGGGGATGGGAGCGTACAGCCGGTTGCACACCCTGCACGCATGTGTCACCGGCCAGGCTCGCACGCGCCTCTCCCCGCCCCAAGAAGCGATCGCTCAGCTGCCCCGAGACCCACTACCACCCCTCCAACCGGGTCCCTGACCCCACTCACCATGCTGGCCGGAGGGGGGGGTGGCTCAGGTGAGCTGACTCTTTGGATCTCACGCGTCCCGCTCGCACAGTTCAGGTCATGGTCCCGGCAGGCTCGGGGAGTCCCCCGCCCATGCAAAGACAACCCGCTCCCCTCCCGGGCCCCGCCGGCACCTTTAAAAGGAGCACAGCGGCCTCATCGAGGACCCCCGAAGCTATTCATCTAGACCTCGGCCCACCCCAGGCACACGCAAAAGCAGGAAATGAGGCAAAGAGGCAGCTGTGCGGGGTCCCCCGCCTGGGCCCGACCCCCAAGAGGGAGGTTGCGGGCCCAGGCAGGGACTCCCCGGCCTCCGCGGCCCGAGGCGGCGACGGGCCCG